CGCTTCCATCCCTCCAGGCTCCCCCGAGCACCACCCACAGACTCCAACCCGCTTTCAATCAATATTTAAAGAATTGCGCCTTAATAACCATCGTGGCGTCATGTAATGGCGGGCTTCAGCTCTGATGCGTCACCTTTTATAAGGTTTACGAATTTATCTGTCTGTTTCTTCCTAAATCTTTGGGCTCTTAAATTATCGACTGATGGTGCATCAATGTATGATATTATTAATTGTTGATAACAATTCTATTGTTATGTTATTATTAATTGTTGATATATCTTATCAGTTATTGATAAGATAGTTTTCACATAAAAATATATTTTTCTTATCTCCGGTAAATTATAGACAACGGCCGGTATTCATAGTCAGTTTTATATTCAAGACCGTCTTAAGTACAGTCTTAAGAAGTCATGAACCAATCAGAAGGCCGTATTAGCGACTTTAAGACGGTCTTAAAATAAGAACCGACTATGAATACCGGCCAACAAATGTTCTATAATCTATATGGAATCTGTTTATATATTGTTCCTATAGAATCCCTACCTATCCATTACAGCCTCCCTACTTATCATCTTATTAAAAAAATCTACAAAACTTGCGCTTGATTATCCGCACTGACTCTCATTAGCTCTGTTGTCCGTTGGTTATTTTTGTATTTTAAATAAGAAGTAATTAAAAAAAATATAAGAACTCGCAATTTGCGAGCAAGATACCCTCCCGAACATTCAGTTTTTTATTTTATCTTTACACATCAAAGACATAGAGAATGGACTGCCGGATCCATATCTAAGTAGTGTATCAAATGTGGTCGATAATAATGAGAGAGAGGAACCGTGTGGAAGACGGCTAATCTCCCTCTCATTCTCTCTCCCATTATACTGTTGAATGGAAAGAGATACAGATTGACCGTCTTCCACGGTCCCTCTCTCTCTTACTTTTATCGACCATTTTGACCACGGATCGTTCAATCCATTCTCTATGTCTTTGTTACACATATACTTTTTAATATATATGTATGTATACTTACAATCTTACAATCTTACAATTTTAAGCTTCAAAATTTAAAGAAGTTTTGTATAAAAAGTGACCTTCTAAAATTCTTTTGAGATTGTTTCTTTTAAATAAAGCATTGCATGTAAAATAAAAAAAAGATATTCAATTGTGATATTTTAGAATGAAAATATATTTATTAAAAAAGGATATCAATCATTTATCTTCATATACCGAGAAACGTATATATCACTGAAAAAATGCATGTATTATGTTTTACATGGAAATTACATGTCTATGACCGGAAAATTACCTAAATATGATTGGAAATTTACAATTTCTAGTAAATTTCCAATCATATTTATGTAATTTAAGTAATTTTCCAGTCATAGACATGTAATTTCCATATAAAATTACATGCATTTTTTTCATATACCCAGAGAGCACATAGTATTTATAAAACATTTACAAAATATTTGTAAGACATAAAACAGATAAAAATTAAAATTATCTGGTCGAATTCTAATCTCTAATTTCTCAGTCTCCAATGTGAAGTACGTGTAGTGTTACGAGCTTTAGCAGATTATTATAAATCAGTAATACAGGAAGAGGAAATGCCTTGTAAAAGCAGTTATACATGATATTTATCACGTACACAAATACGTGCGTTTGCTGGAAGGAACTGATTCATCAAAATAATAATTACTGAAATAATTGTAGGTTTTATGAGTTTCAGGGGATTTTAATTTAATTCAAGTACAATTTGCGCACGTGCGTGCGTGTAATACGTGCGATAATAATATTTCTCGTGTTAATTGACATTGAGTAACGTTACAAAATGAAGCATACAACGAACGGTACGTAAAAATAACTAAATACTGTTTCTTGTTTTTGTTTCTTTCCTTAAAAATTACCAAGGCAATAAGTCAGGACACTTACTGCTGAAGTGCCAATGTAACAATAATATCTGCGGATGTTGATAATATATTATAACAATCTGTATATACAGTACTTGAGTATCTGAGGTTCGCTACTAATAAACATTTCACGATAAATTCTTACGTAAACGTGTGATCTCCGGTTACGTGTACTTTCACACAAGATTCCATATTATGGTCGGCAAGCAGTCTTCAAGGTATTAATCTCTAAAACGCGCAAGAAGATGTTTTGTGCTAAAGTCAGTTCGAAAATTCCTTAAGTTTCATATCCGATATTTATGTCACATGTACATATAAAAACGGTCTTAAATGTGTTTATCACAAATTTTTTTAGTACGATAGTAAAAATTTGATTGTTTCATTAGTTCGGTATCTATTCGCAAATCCCACAAAATTTTCAAAAGTCGTTTAGAAAACTGATCGAAAACTGGTCCAGTAAGTGAAACATAATATTCCCGAACTTTATAAGAAATTACTTGAAGATTATAATTAATTAAGAATATTAAGAAACGATAACATAATTCTTGAAGCAACAAAATCTACAACTTAAAATGGTTGATAAAAAAATTACATCGATGTTAAAAGGACAAAACATTATAATGTTGTGCGATGACTATTTGCACATAGACGGAAATATTTTTGTATCAATATATAAATAATGACGTAATACCGCTGAAATATATCGCGGTTACATGTGAGTTCTAATTACTAATTACTATAAATAAAATTTTGTTGCATCGCTCGTTATGAGAATATTAATAATAATAATAATACAATAATAATATAATAATAATAATAAATCACATCTTTGATGTTCTCATAGCTTCTTTATACACTAAAAGCACACACACATCTTTGGTTTCCTTATTATAACCTTCAATCGCGTGTATACGAAAAGATTACAAAATGTGTGACTTTAGATTTTAATTAATCCAGATCGCGTACAAATATAATATTTAATACTTTCCAAATATTGGTTTTTCACCGATAAAATTATCGATTATACTCGGTGATTCGGCAATATTCGACTCTGCAATTCACAGTTTCACAATCCACCCTCTCGCTCGCCGTTCAACAAAGAAAACAAGAGCTAAAAATCTCCATAATATCCATAACGTGATTAAAGCTCTCTTCGTAACACTTCCGTAATCCACGTTATCTTAAATACACTATGATATGCTCTAATTAACTTTTCAACCCGTTCGGCCGGAAATCATGTCAATAGACGATTTTGGTTGGAACGCTGCAAGGGAAACATTACTACGAGGAACAATCTGTTATCATAAAAATCTATTGTAGCTTTATTCTATCTAACTTTCTTTGTCGTTGGAAAATTTCGCAAACTGAGGTCCTGCGGGATTTGCTATTGGGAAATATTAATGGCAACGAATATTTAATCAAAATAATGAAAGCGTGGAAGTTTTGCCAAGATTTGACAATGCCTCGGCAATAGTTGCTTCGCAACGTTTAATAGTAATATCAGTAATAATTTTTTTAGAATAGTAATAATCGCACATATATGTACTCCTCAGAAGAGATAGCAGGAAAATAAAAGAAACGCGCAATGATCGTTCTGCCAAAATCGATCGTTACGTTATCGTGTCACTTAATGATTGTTGTTCGAAGACTTCAACTGTCTCGGCAGTTTTCGGGCAGCTTTCGACATAGAGCTTTATCGAGGACACGCGTATGGTCCGCTATTTGTCAGACGCATGCAAGAAAGAAGTCTGATGCGGATTGCACTTTAAGCACGGAATTAACAAAAACGGTCGTTCGAAACGATACCATTTGAGAAATATCTGCAAGGAAGTGCGGTCGGTAGTCTCAGCTTCTGATGCAACAACCGCGTTGCTTCGGTAATCATGCTGCGAGCAAATTCTTTATATTCTTCGGCGTGTTTTCCTCGTTCAAGTGTTTCGTGGTATAGCGGAGGGCGTTCAGAAGGCCCTCACTTTTACAAGGCGGCTGGTCCTTTAATAGTTTCACACAGCCTTTGACCTGTTAGATTTGGACCATACATAAGATCGAAGGAATGCACAGACGATAGGAGATTCTTATTTGTAACTTTTTACAATAAATATTTACAAAGCTATCAATAATATTTCTCTAGTAAAGAAATTCCTTTATAATACCTCATTATATTTTTAAGAATTTTGTCATATTTTAAATTTGTGACGAAAAATTTAGTTTTTTTTTTTTTCAAATTTTAAGTTTCTTTCAGAAATTATACAATGAGAAACCTTCATTTCTCGAATTTAAAAAAAAAGAAACATTCATCAGAAGTGCTAACGAAGAATATATTTTTCTGGTATTCTTCATATGTAAATTCTGAATAGAAGACTTGTCTAAGATTTTCAAAATTTCTCAATCTATAATTTTTAAAAGAAATTTATCAAATCTAAGTTTAAGATCTTTTTTAATTTTCAGAAATTTAAAATATGACAAATTCTTAAAAATACGAGATTGGTATTATAAGAATTATTTTCACCAAAGTGATGTTATTGACGATTTTGTAGGAAAGTTGTATTATTTATACATATATAAAATATAATATAAAAAACAAAATCAGGATTGTTAACGTTAGTTAACAAATCTTTTTTCTAAAACATTACTACAAAATTTTTTTATACTTACATCCACGTTCGAACCCTTTACAAAGGCACCTTGGGGATGTACATGATCATAGAGAATCACCAAACCTACCATAACCCTCAAGACGAAGAGCTGAGTCTCCTCTCGTTGGAATTGCGCCAACAGATTCCTAGTAGAAGATATTTCCCAAATTAGCTTCGCGAAGAAATTTCTGCTCTCTTAAGACAATTCTCTTCTCTTTGCATACTGATGGAAATAAATAGATACTTACGGGTTTTCCAACATTCGAAGACACACTTTTGCCATTGTACCAAGCGTTTCTGTAATGTTTTCCCTGGCTATGTCTTCGTTCTAAAAATAAAAAACCATAGCTTTATGAGTATAATAATTAAAAATTATGAGAATAAACGTATAATATCGTGACAATTTTGCTCCCGAATTTACAAATATTCTGAATACAAATTTTTTTATATTTATTGAAAGGCTCGCTTTTAAAAGTATTATGTTATCATGAATATTTGCACAAATTGAAGGTAGTACTCAAATATTAAATTATTGTTTCGTTATCGATTTTAATTAAAAACTTTCATGTTATATCAGGCTCGCGTATACATCCGTACCACGTTTATTTGTCTGACGATATGGTCTATATAGAGCTCGGGTAATTTAAATCGCAGGCTAGAATACCTGTCAATTTTCCAGTTCAGCAGAGCCATTATTATCGTCGACAATTTTTTTTTTCTCTGTCCGTCTTGCCATTACATCGCATGTCGATCACGTAACGGTTATTTGTCATCGCAATCAATACGAATGAAAGTTCACGATTCATTGCAACAGTGTTGAGAAATGTGTCAAGATAATTAATAGAAGAGTCTTGAAAAAATTTCAAATAAAATAGATAGGATTTAAAATGTTGATGCTATTCTTTATATTTCTCCTCTATTTCATAACATAGAAGATAAAATTGAATTGTTTATTAGTCAATCTTATATATATATATATATTTATATATGTATATAAATTTTATATTTCTTTACACATAATTATTAATATAAATCCACTTGAGAAATCATTAACAAATAATAAATTCGATGTTCTTAGATACATTGATCGATCAAAAATTATTATATCTGATTTAAATTGCGATGAAACAAATAATGTTACGAAAACAGAATTATAGAATCTAGATTTACTTCTTCAATTGATCGGAATGATTAAGGGATAAACCGAGAAACCGCCTGGATAACCGCAGAATTTCGTCTAATTGCCATCAGTTAGCATCTGGTCGGATCAATAATTGTCCGGATAACAATGGGAGGTCGTGCGGACGGGAACAATGTAGAGAGGCGATACCACTTACGTCCATCAAGAAAGTAATGGTCGCGTGACTCAGAACTCGAAGCATGGGTGTCGCGTGGGCGTAAAACAAGGACATTCGGTTAGCGAGTTCATTCCCAACAACTAGGTCCTTTTCGGCGTTGTCCTGACACGTCAGCGATGCCCTCGTCAATGTTCTACGATAGTAGCTGAAGTCATTCTGAATCGCCGGCGTTTTCATTTTATACTCGTCGAACTTCAGTACAAATTCCAATATCTCCGCCAATTGCTTCACTAGTGCCTGTTGCGTTTCCAGATGTTGCGTCGGTGAAAGGTTTCCCGAGCATAATTGTCCCAGAATTTTCGGTACGATCCTTTCTACATAAATAAAAACAAATAAAAATTATTATCGAACTTAATCCAAATTCATTTATGTAAAATGAAAATGTTGTTTGCAATTTTAAACAAGCTACATGCAGTAATTAATCAATATTAATACATGTATTATTATGTAGCTTATTACGTAATATTATGTAGTCTAAAAGTAAGCAAGTACGAAAATTAACAATATATAAAATGTTATAATATCAAGAATTGGTAGTCATAAGAAACAAATAAATAGCTAATTAATAATTTTTTTACACATTCTCTCTCTCTCTCTCTCTGTTTTTCTCGTATTAACTTTACTAGGATAATTAATAAACATCAAAATATAAAAATGCAGAAACCTAAATATTACACTTTTGATATTAATCTACTTTACACGTTTTTATTAAAAAAATATTCATTAAAAATAAATATACCGAATGTAAAAATCAGTTTTGTTCTAAAATGCTGTTTTCCACATTTTATACTTCCGATAACCACCAGTATCTATCATAATTAACTTATACCACAAATATGGCTAATAGCATTCCGCGGGTACAGGAAGAAGTTTTTCCAATATTCGATATCAAGTTTCCAAGGAGTAAAGTGTAACATCGCTACCTATAAAAAACTTATCGTTAATATGATTAATCGAGCGTACCGAGTTCCAAGGAAAACTCGTAGAATCGTTTGAGTTTCGCTACAAGAGGTGCCACGGTTAGGTATGCTTTTCGTTGACATTCCTCCGTGGGTGCCGAGATCGCCTCTCTGATTTCTTTCCCGGCTCCTTTGTAACATTGTATCTCCTCTAAAATGGACTCTGAATTTTTCAGCACTCTTTGCACCGCCTCGAACGTTTCGCGTTCGATGTCCGACGGTTGTGCATCTGTGGAACAGACAAATACGACAAATCGATAATTATCAAACAACATATGTATGTCTCTTTGTTATACAAAAGCTTTTGTTACATTTCGATATTATGGAAGATCCATTTATTTCTTTATCACGTGGAATCGTACATTGTATTGTACAGCTTTGACCAAAAGTATAAAGCATTCCCATAAAGAGATGTAAATATTCTGTCTAACAAATAATTAAGTAAGTAATAATTTCAATAGTTTGTTAATTTTTCTTTGAATTTTATTACAATCTTCTAAGAAAATACAATAAATTGAAGATGCTTTATACTTATGGCCAAGGTTATACAATTTCATCAAATATATATGTATAATAGAATCGGATTATATTATATATATTACGGAAAATATTAGTACACAGCAAATAACGCGAAAAAATGCACTTATAATTAAAATTAAAACTCTTCACGAAATATATTTATGTACGACTCACTTTCGAAATCCAAGAAGACATCATACTTCTGAGGGGTGCAACAGGTAGACTCATCTCGAGCCAAAAGACTCAAAAGCTTACCCATCGTAAGTGTATAGCTTCTTTCGATGAGAGTCACTTTACAACGTGAAAGGCATCTGCAAGTCAAAGCAATTCGGTTTACATGTTGCGAGTTTTCTTGTGATTCGACACAAATCATCATTTAATCGAACAAACTGTGGCACTAATGTTACAACATTATTCAAAAATATAAAAAAATTATTAGTTATTAGTTATTTTGATCAATTTAGAGACAATTTATGCCTACAGATCATAGACGTAGGCATAGACTGCACATTCTCTGATTTTAGCATCAGTGCTCCTTAGAAATAATTGAACGTATCAGTATTTCTCTTCAATAATTCTATCAACATCTTCAATACTTGAGAGAAAGAGAGAAAAAAGACAAAGAGAGAAAGATTATAATTCAAGCTACCTCACTCCTTTTAAACCATAATATATAGTATAGTGACAACTTCATAAGAATGAGCAGTCTATTCTTATTATGTCTCATAGTGATATAACGAATGAAAACAAATGCTATTGTATAAAGTAAACTTCTGAAATATATGTATGTACAGGGTATTGCAGTAATATATTAGACAGTTGCGCGACAGACTTTGCATAGGTAGGCACAGTTCAGTACGTAATGACGGCGTAGGTATATCATATACCGTTAAACTTACTGATTGAGTGGTTCACGCGCCTTTATACCAATAAAGTTTGCAACGTTCCAATTATGACAGACTTCAGAAAATCTACCGAGCAATCCATCGTAATGCCTAATATATATACATATTAATGCAATACTCCGTACATATATAATAAGGTCTATTGCTCCATATTATATGGATAAATTTAAGGCGGATTACGGAAAATGCATTAATAATTTATGTAGTTATTAGAATCCCGTTTAAAAAAAACTCGATTCGAAAGATGTTAGAAGCACTGAAATTAAGCCCGGAAATTCTTTAGAACATCCCGCATATCATAACAAACAATTGTAACACAATTTGTAATTGCTTTTCTTGCAAAAAGAACAAAAACATCTCACAGGTTTATATCTCACAGGTACTTGCAGAGTACTTGAAAGATAATGTGATTGAGTTTCTGCTTGAGGTTGAAACCGACGCGACGAGTGGTAACTTGTCACCAGTCCGAGACTACAATGAAATTGAAATTTCAGACTGTAGTTTGAGCGTATATATTCACTCGGAACGTATGTATATATATATATATACACATATATATATCGAACCATTAATTCCGGATAGGCGACATACGCGCACGCCTAGACGACTCGGATTAACGCGTATCCGCATCGATAACCGCGGAACAAATGGATTCTGCGAACTCGTCGACTGGGAGATGAATCTCGTTGATCATTTACAGCGAAGGGATCAACCCTCCCTCACCTGAAGCGTTCGCGAAGGGGTTCCATTTAGCTGTTTGCGCCGAGGACACCGAGATCTAACGCTGACTCACGTGGGAACGTCGCGATTACGTTTTACGCCGCGCGAACGAGAGAGCAACCACGTCTGGGAGAACCGAGTTCGCCCTTGTCACTTGCAGCGTGCAAGAGGACTTGTGATCGGCTTTACAGCTTCTAAAATTGCGAACGGCGAGATTCCATCCCGTTCCGTCGTGCCGGCGGCGTTATTTTCAGCCCGAAAGTACGTTTCGCGCTCGTCATCTTCGGTCGTCGAGCCTCTCGGTTTCTCTCGGGGAAAATGATCGTATATTGCGCAAAGACTGGAATGCTGAAGTTTCTGATTCGTATGGATATGTCACAGTAAAAGCGTGAAATTTAGTAAATATATTCTACACTTACTAGTCCATATGCATTTATGTAAAATTTAAGAAAAGTGTCAACTACAAATAAGAATATCTGTTATTCCTAATATAAATATATTCAATTATTAAAATTTATACATTTGCTACAACACATAACACATTTAACAAAGCATAACATTGCGAGTCATCTGTCACAATAATAGTATATATTTTAGTAAATTTGAAGTCACTTCCTTTTATAATGTACAATTTTTATGAAATTTAGCCTATGGAGTAATTTGATAATGCTACACTGAAAAAAAAAGATATAGTTCACATAACTAAAAATATTTAGTTGTGAGCAATATAGAAACATCATCCTAGTTATCTTTATATGATAGAAATGTGTATGATTGATACGATTTATTTACTTTGATGTGTCAACTACATCAATGTAGTTAGGCGTGATCTGGTTGTGACAACCAAAACTTGGTTGGGGGATCATTTACTATGGATAAGTTATATATCCGTATAGTTACGTCAATCATATATTATAAAGCATGATGTAATAGGAATTAAATTATTAATAAGAATTAATTTCTTGTTACATTATGCTATAAATTAAGTTGCAATTTCAAAATGCAAAAGCGACTCACCACGCTTACAATTAAAAATATGTATATGTGAAATGCCATCATTGCTGCAACATAACCCAACCTAATCATTGTACTATGGTTCAAGCAACCACATAAATAATTGTTCCATATTTTATTATTTAATCTGGTTGACATCATCAAATTTTTGTGTAGACCAATCATACTGTTTTTTTCATGCTTTATTCGAATCTGAGGTCAAAAATAAAAGATCCAAAGATACACGGAGAGAAATCATAAGGGACTCATAACCATACGAATATAATTAAAGGTTAATTCATAGTACAGCGATCTCAATAAATACATTAATCAGTCGATATGTGAAATGCAACTATACGATTATTTCTAAGTAGATATGGTCAGATGAAGCACATTATAAATTGTACGAATATTAAGTCCTCGAAATAATTGCTGATTTTATAAATTAAAATATGTTCATGCCAGGTAAAGTATCTTTTTAAGGCATACATAAAATATTATGTATGTATATACTATATGCCTACTGCAGCTTTACGTGTTTCGAGTATGCAAGTATGATCAATTTAGCCATACATATACTTCGAATAAAACGCGCCCAACCTGATTTAAACAAATGACTCATACTTGTAATCATGTTTTTGTCAACGTACATATTATGTACAAGTTGCGGCGTTATTTTGTGAGACATTTTCTGCATAATGTAAATATATATTACATTTACATTGTATTTTTCATATTGTTTAAGGACTATAGTATATCAGTGATTATTCACTGATTCATATTCTCTAAATCTGAATCAGTAAATAATCACTGATATCAGTGCCGAGATATGTTGGTAATCAGTGAATGAAATGTGAGATCCTTAACCTAATAGCTAATTTTTATTATGTGATCTACCTTGTTTTAGTGCATAAATTCAATGAATACGGTATTGGAATATTTTGAACTTTTCTGGATTTTTTTGAACTTATGCACTAAAACAAGATTAGTTAGATTATATAATAAAGATTATATGGTATAATAAAGATTATATAGTAATATCACATATATAATAAAAATTATATGGTATGATTATTCTAACCATATTCTCTTGTAGGTATTGATTATATAGTATGGCTATTCCAACCAAACTTTCTGAAGGATTGTACTATATAGTATATATAGTAGGATTATACTGTACATGTCCAACTAGTAATACGGTACAATTACGCTATTGTGACAATTTATATAAATTAGAAAAATTTGGAAATCTCAATCTAAACTGATGGATATGCTATTATTAAGAAAATTGGATTATCCATAATTGTATAGTTGCAACATTAATACGATAGTAGCTATATTAAGCATACAATATGACTGAATTAACTATATTTATATTATGGCTAATACTTCTAATCTTTTCTCTCCGTGTAGATTCAATATGACGGACAAAATTAAAAAAAATTAATTTAATTATTATGAAACTCAGTTTTAGAAAGTTTTTAATTGCGAAATATTATAATAAAGTATAACATATAAAGTATAACAACATTGATCAGTTTCTAGTTTCCTTTTATTTGAAACTCATCTGTATTACTTAAACAGTTTATTGATTTTCAAATTAACTTTCAAACTTTGATTATGAATCCTATGATCTAGGATTCTCTTTTATGGAAATCATAAAAGGCATGTAAATTGCATTTACTAGTTCTTACTCGATGCGCATGCGTAGCCTATTTTCACAAGCCTTTTTTGATTATTTATTGACTGTCAAAGGAGATAAGAATAGTCTCGGCCCATTTTTACAAGCATTTTAAACCGATTTCATCATTTCAGTTCATCCAAATTCTCTTTATTCACAAATGGCATGCAAGAAAAAGCAACGTGCCATTTTTCGCTTATCACGTCACGATTTAATACGGCTGAAATGACTACTCAGGAGCCTTAACTTTAAATTAAACATTCACGAACAGGCATAGCATTTTAATACAACGACAAAAATTTCTGATTAAAAATGAATAAAGCTCAAGGTTCATATCAATCAGAATTCTAGTTATCTCAACTAAAATTATAACGGATATAACTAGAAAATTCTGATTTGTCTATTTTCAATCAGAATTCCAATTAATGCAACCAGGCTCTTTTTTCAAGTTTAAGTTATGTGGTTGTATATCTGCTAACAATATATCTGCTAACAATTAAGGTGTTTAAATTGATGAATTTTATTTGCGTGTACTTTTACTAAATCAGGTGTGAAAATGTACGCTTTTACTAATAAAAGTTTAAGTTGCTTGTGAATACATTTACTTATCAAATTAGTATACATTTTTGACTAGTAAATATATACATTTTTATTGTGACAGATACATAGGTGATAGTTTTCATGATGATGAAGATGCGATTCGAATTTGATCGATGCAATCCGATCTTAGCAGCTAAACTTGTTTAGAAGAACAGTTATGAAAAAAAGAAAGAACTGGTTTTTCCAGTCAAACTTGATATCATTAAAAATTTTGCATCTGCTGTTGATATTAAAGATTGATATTAGAAATTTATAAATACACGAACTTTACGACTGACGAGAAATTCTTTTCCCTCAAAATAATCAATCGCCGAAGTTTTTGATACAATTGGAAAGCTGAATTTTATAAATTTCTCAAGTATTTATATATCGCTCTTTTACTTCGAAAATAACACAACTAAAAAAACTAAGT